AGCGGAGGTTAGCTAGGGTGGGGGGGGCACAGGAAGTAACGGGGGTGGTAGAGGAACCGCTCCCCGCTCCAGCTTACCTCTGCTCCACCACCGCCACCTCTCCCGAGCGCCCGCCGCTCGGCTTCTCCTTCCTCCCTCCCTCCCAGCCTTGCTGCGCGAAATAGCGGTTTCGTGTGCGGCAAGCCTGGGAGGGAGGGGGGAGAAGTGGAGCGGCGGCGCGTTCAGGGGAGCAGGCGGAGCGGAGGTGAGCTAGGGTGGGGGGGCGCAGGAAGTAACGGGGGATAGAGGAACCACTCCCCGCTCCAGCTCACCTCCGCCACCTCCCCTGAGCGCCCCGCCGCCCGGCTTCTCCTCCGTCCTAGCCTTGCTGCGCAAAACAGCTGTTTCGCGCACGGCAAGCCTGGGAGGGAGGGGGGAGAAGTGGAGCGGTGGCAGTGTGCTCAGGGGAGCAAGTGGAGGCAGAGCGGAGGTGAGCTGGGGCGGTGAGCTGGGGCGGCGGGGGCACTTTTTCTCCATGCCCTGGAGTCGGCGCCTTTGATGGCCGGCGCCAGAATGCCGCCCCTAGCAATGTGCTGCCCCAAGCACCTGCTTGTTTTGCTGGTGCCTGGAGCCGGCCCTGGGTGAGGCAGACTAATCTGTGCTGGTCGTGGCCTCGCCCCATTGCTTCTGCTATCAGCTAAGATTCCCCGTCCCTTGGTCGGACCAGAATGTGCCTCATGAGTCGAGCCTTGGCAGGCTGCCCCTGATGAGCTGCCTGGAAGCAACAGGGCTTAGGACAATGGGGAGGGGAAGAGGGGTCTGTTAGGGGGAAGAACTCCCGGATCCTGGGGAGAGGGTGGGTTATTTGCCATGGAGTTCTGGGCCTGATGTGTGGGAAGATCCTAGGCTGTGTCACCAGGGTGTGGGGAGAGGGTGTCGAACTGAATGATTACAGCACCCCCTTTTGCCTTTCCAATCTATGGATCCATGAGACCATGGGGGCCCAGAGCCTGCAGCCTCATGGGGTGTCTGTCCCCTCCTCACCCCACGCCGAGAACAGCCCCTCCACTCCACTGCCGCAGACACCGGTCGTCACATAGAAATGCCAGCGGGTGTGACCCTGGCAGGCCAGATGCCAGCTCTTGCTGCAGGGGTTAACTAAGAACTGACAACCTCGCAGCTGGAGCCCAGATCAGGTCACACCTCTATGGTAGTTTTGCTCAAAACAGGGATTAGTTTTACAAGAATATATTTAGTGTTTAGACTCTGTGAAATGCTTGTGAGTCGCTGCCTACATTCATCTCACTTGCCATGGCGGCACTCCAAGCTATAGGGAAAGATGTAAGTTTTACTTAATAGCTTTGAAAATGTTTGGTCCGAGCCTGTGAACTCAGACCTGGGAATTGTCCTCACACCTCCCCCCGCCTCTCCAGATGCGGAAACACGGAACCTCGCAATACAAACGATTAGTTAATGGCCCTGTCAGACCTGGGAAATGCTATGTGCCAGGAAGCTGGTCATGTGGGCTTGGAAGCTGAATGGAGGAAATTAAGCCACAGGAACATTTTCCATCTTTTTTTTTGGCTGTTTGAACTCTGAAGCCAGAGATCCCCTGGGCTGCCTCCTGGATCTGCCCTGAAAGACCCTTTGAAATGACATGACAACTCTGTCACTCTTAGGATTTAATGGTAACTCACTGGTGTGTACATGTTTGTGTAACCCTTCTGCCAGGTGGAGCCAGCAGCAACAAGGGCTGGGGTCAGTATCTAGGGGTTCGTTTTCAACAATACAACAGAAAACCACCTCGAGCCCCCACTCAGTGACCTGGGACAATTATACACTGCCCCCAGGGCATGTCTAAAAGCCAATACTTCCTCTCTCACAAGCACAGAGTCTGAGGGTACATCCAGACTACCCGCCGATTTGGCAGGTAGTAATCGATCTATCAGGGATCAATATATCATGTCTCATATAGACGCGATATATCGATCCCCAAACACACTCCCGTCGACTCCAGAACTCCACCAGGGTGAGCGGCAGTAACAGAGTTGACAGGGGAGTCGCAGCCGTTAATCCCGTACCGTGAAAACAGGAGGTAAGTTGAAATAAGATACGTCAACTTCAACTACACTATTCCAGCTGAAATTGCATATTTTACATCAACCCCCCCCAAGTGTAGATCAGCCCTGAGCATAACAAAAATTTTTAGCTCTCAATGATTTCAGCAATGTTTTCAGTGCACAATACTCCTATAATAAAGTCACTGTCCCAAAACAGACCTAATACTTAAA